AATGGGAGTTTATATCATGTTTGTTAGACTGGAAGAATAAAAGTTCAATAAATTAATTCCATTTTTCACATTGTTGATCTATATGTTTAGTGCAATCTTATCAAACTCATAATGTCAACTGAAATATCGTTTGTATTTTCATGCATGAGCTTGTAGGCAAAGTCATCAGGTACTAATTTTTGAATTAATTCAAGGACACACACACACGTTAAAAAAAAGAAACTCTGGAACCATGAGAAAAAAGAAAAAAGGACACCAGAAATCATACAACACCATTTAATGTTGCAGTGGAATAAGAGAAAAATAAGTAAGTAAAAACAATAATTTTATAAATAATGAAGCAAAATGGCAAATGACATGATTATCTACAGCCAAAATAGGAGATTTTAAAACATATTTCAAAGTCACTGTATAACAACCAATCATGTACATGAAAAAATTATAAAACATGATTTAAAAGGTATAATGAGTACTGCAAATATTTCAATATGAGTCTAATGAACTATATGGAAAACTTCTATGTGGAGAATTACAAGCATAATTGAAGTCCATATGAAGAACTGAGTAAATGGGAGTTTATATCATGTTTGTAGACTGGAAGAATAAAGTTCATAAATATTTCCATTTTGAAGTCCATATGAAGAACTGAGTAAATGGGAGTTTATATCATGTTTGTAGACTGGAAGAATAAAGTTCATAAATATTTCCATTTTTCACATTTTGATCTATATGTTCAGTGCAATCCTTATCAAACTCATAATGTAAACATGAAATATCGTTTGTATTTTATGCATGAGCTTGTAGGCAAACTTTTCCTGAAAATCAACACTCCACTGACCACAGCAATTCTACTTCCCAAATTTCTAGAATGCTTGCCTATATAAAACACATATTGGCCATGTGATTCTCTTGCATAAACTTTTTTACTGACCCCTCACAGTTTTCAGGATAAAATTCAAAATCTCAGACGAAGCTCATAAGGCTTCCTGTAGTATGATACAAGCTGCTCTTCCGCTTTATCTCCTGCCCTCTCCTACAGGTATTCAGGGTTCTGGAGTCCTTATGCATGTAGTGCATAACTTGCAAGATGTCCTTAATACAGGCCCTAGTGTGAGAGGCCTTTGGGTGAGGTCTGAGAGCAGGAAGGTGAGACCACCTGCATGCTGTTTCTGAATGCTTACCCTCTGAGCACAATTCTACTGGCGATTTTGTGAGCCACATAAATGCAATATAACTTGATACATCGTGTTCTGATTCGCCAAAGCAAAACCACAAGCAAAATGATGGTGCTTCTTGTTTTACTTCTTAGTTACTAATTTAATCACCCAAAAAGTTCCATCATTCCTCCCCAGTACAAGTTTAAAAATAGGAGGGTATTGTATAAGCAGAGCTATTTTTTCCAAAATAGTAAACAGGAGATTGGGAATAGAGATTTTCTTAGAGAAGGCATGACATATGTGTTCAGAGACCACTAAGAAATGCATGGATATATGAGACATGCATTCCCTTCAAGGGGAAGGGAGAGCTATAGGGCGGAAAAAGAGTGAACAAGCGTGAACAGGAAGTGAACCCAGTCAATGTCATTGCCTAGAGATGAGGAGGGGCCATGTCTCATCCTTGGTCTTTCACTCCAACTTATAGATTTAGTCTGGGGGTATTCCTGAGTTCTGAAACTAATGTAACAGAAGTTAGAAAAAAATACAACAGAGTTTAGTCTGAAAAGATTCTGAAGTGCAGCTACTAATCTGAAAAAGAAATGCCCTGCACAATACCTAATAAAACATATTTTATCACTTAAGTTTTTAAAATCAGGTTTTCCTTTTCTTATTTCCTTTTATAAAGAAGTTGGTGGAAATATTTGTAGTACAATTCTAAACGCTTTCATCAGATATATGCCCCAAATCATTTTAACAACCAGAAATATTAGACTTTGGAAAATATTTTCCATTCCACTGACATGAAATTTATTGTGAACTTTATTTCTCCAATAAAAGTATTTAAGAAGGAGTATAAATACAGTACAGGCAAGTAATCTCTACTTTCCTTGCAAATACAGGAGACTTGGGTGTCTGCATAGACAGATTGACAAGGTCTCTGGTTACTGACTTGCCTGAGAACCTTAGTGCTTTGTTTTCTAGATTATACATTATTGTATTAGCTCACATAAAAATGCCATAGAAATTTCCTCTGAAAGTTTAATGTGAACTTTAGAAAAGATCAGAATATAAGTCAATAATATAAAAAGAATATATATATTTCAGAATTTAACTTGACACTTGAGATTTTTGGAATTTCTGTTTTAACCATTTAGTTAACATCAATGAAGGAAATGTTTGTAGGATATGTCCGTTGACGTCTCTCGAAGTACTAGTCTGCATCCCAAACACCACCACTTGGGTGACATGTGTTCCCAAAGGATGAGTCAGCACAACCAAACCTTGTGTGGATTTCATGTAAGTTTGAATTTTATTGCTTGGGCCAGCCATATAACTTCACAGATGTATCAAGTACATTCGCACACTCCCTTTCCTCCATACAAACCTCTCCCTTCAGAATATCCAGTAAACAATGGAAATGAGATTGTATTATCTGTTTTTTTCCACATTCTAATGAAAGGATAACATGAATACATTTTGCAATATTGGTTTATAATAATACTCGCATTCATACATTTTTGTACTCTTAACAGGAAACTCCCACTCAGTTGCTTTTCCCTTATATTTTATGCAGGTGCTCTACTATTTGAGCCTCTCCACCAGCCCTTTATGCATTGGTTATTTTTGATATAGGGTCTTGCTTTATGCCTGGGCAGGCCTGGACTGTGATTCTTCTGATCCCTGCCTTCACTCAGCATGGCTTCTTCTCACTACTAAAAAGACAAACTGAAGAATGCTCCAATTTTGCAAGCAAAAAGGCCTGGGCTGATTAAGGCACATGGTAGATATCTCTCAAAGTAGCTTAAGTGTGGATTTGAAAAGAGAAACTAAGCTTCTACTTTCATGTTCTCCCCATTGGCTTAATGACTTCTTACAAGAATGAGGGTTTTAAATTAGTAAGTAATTGGCAGCTTTATGTATGACTAACACCCCATAATAGACCTGGTATGTGCAGAACCTGGTATGTGATGCTTCTTTCAGGTCTCATTTGAACTATTTGAGCCTTCACTTGCCCACTTCTTTGAGATTTGTTTTTGTAACAATATTATTTCAATTCTGGATTTTAAGATGAGGAGAGAATTTTGTTGACGTATCATGATACGAGTTACTGGATATAACATTTTTCACTTGTAGTTTGTGTGGATATATACCTAATTACCTGAGCTTGATTTTCTACCACTTCTTCCAAGTCCATGCGTTATTTCAGTAGTATACTGGTCTTCATGAAGCCGCTCATCATTTCTTTTCAGGGTGAACGGATAACCACATCAAGTTTATTTGAGGTTTATGATTAGCCAATAACACATTCAAAACATATGAAGCAGAAGGTTACCATCTTAGTTTTTTACCAAATAACTACTTTAGACCAAACAGTGCCTACCGGGAAAGCTGCCTTTCAAAAATTGGTAATTATTTCAGGCTTAGGAACAACAGTCAACAGTTTGAAACTATGAACTTTCAATGAAGGAAGTAGGTCAACTATAGTACCAAACAAAACATGTTAGAAAATCAATGTGTTCCTCCTCAAAAAATGTATTCATTATATTTTCTTAGACTATACTTCATAGAAGAGGTGGAGTGCAAGTTTTCTGAAATAACTGTTGAATCATTTTATCCTATCATATAAACAATTAGAAAAATAATAGAGGAATTTCATCCCAGTTAGCTTAAAACTAAACAAAACCTCAAATGACAGCAACATGGGTGTGTGTAGAAGGGGAGAAGGATTTGAGGATTGCAAAAAGATGAATGCAATGTGTTTTTTTTTTTAAAGCCAGTTGTCATAATAGGCTGCCTTACAATGGAAATAAATTAAAACCCTTATAGGTGGAGGAAACATATAATCGTTTGAGTGTATTTGACTTTGAATGATCTCATGATAAATGTCCCAAGGAGCCCACAAACATACCACAAAAGAGTCACTTTACACCAAGACTCATGAGTAGCAACTGTTCTTGAAAGAAAACAAATTTCTGTTCAGGGAATTTGAACCACTCCAAAGGATTTAATCACTTGTGGGTCAGTCACATCTGTTCTGAAATGAAATGCTTTTTCCTGTTTCTAAATTGACTAACCCTTAACCCCATTAGCCTTCACATCTTAAAACAAAGATTATTCTTGTTTCATTAGCTGTGGAACAGTCAGGGCCTTTGTGCTTATTCCAGCACATGGAACTCATCACAGTTTTATTCCTTTCTCTTGGTGAGCAGAAAGAAAAAGAATTTAAAAAAAGAGCAAGAAAAATAAGATCTACATTAGGGTTGACAGTCTGATTCATATGTCAGATCTACGTGGACACCTGTGGAAAATAAGTGTATCTAAAATAATAGCTAGGATCTTTTCAACAGGGAGAATTACTTGTATGTTTTCCCTTCAGTCGTTAGTTTCCATCATTCTGCTGTCTGAGTCTTCACTTATACAAAAGGAAAGGGAGCTAGTCTAAGTGAGGCAGAAGCAGGTCTCTAGCTGTCTCAGGCTTGTACATCCCGGCAGTGTAAGCTGCTGACGCTTTATGCTGAGACTACACCAAAAGACAGAGGGAAGAGATTCTTTCCCAAAGTCTTATTTGCAACTGTAACAGTTGATTTGAAAAATTTTGAAAGGAAGGATTAAAAAAAGCCTACTGCAAATCTACAATGAAAACAAGCAGAAAAGTCAGTGATTGGAGGGGAAGGAAGGGGTGAGAGAATTCACACATCACATACAGAGATTAGAGAGAGGTATGCTCCAAAAAAGAAGAGCTGCCTTGAGTTCAGTTCCTTACTTTTTTTTACAGATATTGAAATGACACATAGTGAGATAGAAACAAACCCCCACCGCACATTTATAGATCCCCAGTCTTACCTGTGAGTAGACAAGGTTTTGCCAGTGTTGTGCAGCAGGGTAATTTCCACCCGGAAATCTCGCGAGGCTAGCCTGCAGAAGGGCTGGGCTCCTCATTAAAGTCTTCACGTCAAGCTGCAGGAATTTGTCAGGATGGTTGTTATTGGGCAAAACAGAAAGATCCATGTCTCCCTTCATCTACAGTGGAAACAAAGCAGGCGAAGCTGCTTCTGTCAGAATCCTCCATTATTAATGAGTTTAAAGATACTCTGGCATCTGAAACCAGGTCTCTCAGCTACACACAAAAGCCAGTATCAAAAGGATAGAGCAGTGCACAGGAACAAAGCAACAAAGCAGCCCACTGCCTTACCTTACACCATGCACACACACACACACACACACACACACACACACACGTTGCTGAATGGGACAGATGGGGCTGCACTGATTAAAATTAATAGGAAGGCAAAATTAGATATGTGTGGCACTTAACATTTCTCCATAGAGAATCTGAAATTAATTTAAGGGGAACTATTGTCTGTATAGAGGCTGCCACAATTTCAGTGTCACAGTCACCTGTATAGAGACACTGCTTCACTTTTCTCTCTGAATATTGCTGAGCTATCACAGCTGACTTGGTCTCACAAGTGATATGGAGTATCTAATTTCTTCTCATGTTTTTGTCTCCCAGAGTCTTGAGCCTATGTGAAACATAACCAGATTCAGATTGTCAGCTTATTCTGAGGAAGGAAATAGCAAGAATTTAGTTTGCTAAAATAATTTAGCGCTTCAACCTACTGCCTTGAGCTACTAACTACAGAGGTCCCTTTGACTCTGTTCCTAGCTATATACTCTCCTACGGTGTTTGGTTTTCCCACGGCACATTGGGCGCCAAACAGAAACGTGGCTGCTGGGTTTGGATGATGTGCTGTTGTAAGTGAACCCATCTGCTGTCAAGAGAGCCAAGGTATGAGTGAGGCTATGCACAGCATAGCCAGCCAGCAAATGGTGATGAGTTTAATGAGGACAGACTCTCTTCTCACAAGACACTCCAAGTAAACTATGATTCTCACTGGGAAGGTATGGAATGCCATCTGGAGGAAGAGGAGATATTCCCACTTGTGAGAAGGTAAAGGGTAGACTTATCAGTGGATTTTAAAAGGCATAGGTTGCCTGTTGTTTTTGCATCTCTATAAACCCCAGAGACTCAGCAGGAAGGCTTCCCTTCCATGGGCAAAGGTGTTATGTGGGATGTGTCAGCACTAAATTTCAGAAGAGTGCCACATAGCTTACAAGAATCAGCAGTCAGGATGTTCTTGAATTGAGCAAAGCACTGGGGAGTACTTACTTTGTAGCAAAAAGCACAAGAGAATGTGTTTTACAATAATCTATCCTATTCATAGTTGTAAAATTTGATTAAGTAGTTAATGTTTCCTATATCAACTTTTTGGACACAAACTCTCTCATTGTCTTACACTATTTGAACTACCTTCTTAATGGTTTTATAATACATTTTCTAGAGAAAGTTATGTAGGCAGTTTATAATGACAGTTAGCAGAACAATTAGACCATAAGTGTTTCAGGAACCAAGTATGTTATGTGCATGTGCCTGAGCCTGTATTTTCTGGATGTTTCTAGCCCTGCCAGAACATATGTAATGAACAAATGTTACACAGATTGCTTGCTTTTCCTAAAATATTCTTTGGGGAACAACACACATCTTTAAGAACCTAACTTGTCTTTGGCTCTCTATTTTGGCAGAGAGGCAGAAATTAGATCCAAATATATTTGATTAGACCTTTTCCTTAGCCAAAGTATGAGGTAGGTGAAAGGAGCCTCAGTGTTCCTTGAACATCTTTTTACAGTCCTCTGCTGTGCCCACACATGCCCCACATTGTCTGCTGTGTCTCCATCTGCAGTTTTATCTCAGACTCTCTCTCCATCTTCTCCCATTGTCCTTTGTCCTTATCCTGAAAACCATCAGTTCCCATTTCTTATTGTCATCCCAGTTTTTGTCCTATATGACTCCAAAGAGGAAATCAAACATTTTATCCTCCCTTCCTCTGTTGCCACCCACACCACCATCACCCCAAGCCTATGCCTCTGCTCATGCCTGGAGACATTCCTTGCCATCCCTGCCTGTTGCCTACTTCCTAATCATCTTTAATGGACCATGGCTGGCACCTAATCTTCCATAAAACTATTTTACATTTTCCTTAGTAAAAATGATTTTCCCTCCTTTGAATCTTCAGAGTGATTTGTTTATACCTTCATCATACTGTTCTTTAATAATTTCATACCTTTATTTTAAAAGTCTCTACACTAATATAGTTCTAATGGATGGCCTCTTACACATAAGTCTTGTCTAAGGACCCTAATGTAACCCTTTGTTCAATAATGATTTGTTTTCTCAAGTCTCTTAGGACACAATTCTTGTTGGAAATCAATAATCCAATTACATTTGATTAAAAATGACTTAGTGTTCCATTTTCTAATCTTGTATTCCAACTCTACTCAGTGACAAAAATGTTGCTGTGTCCAAAATGATATGCTCTGTACTTTTTTCCAGCAGTTTATAACACATATATTCATATTGAAAACTTAATTGTCAGTATTATCCAAATTTACTTTGTTATATAATACCTTTTTTATTGTTTTCCTATTAAATCTGAAAACTAAGGTACTTTAGAGTAATTGGATAAATATTGTCTTAGGGTTTTTGTTCCTTTATTATCATCAATACCTTTTAAAAATGATAAAGAATGTAAGTATATATGAATAAAGATTTTTTTATTGTCATGCTGCGTGGGAGTACATTGTGACATTTACAAAAGTTCTTACAATATATCAAAATATATCACACTTGAATTCACCACCTCTACCATTCTCCTTTTTCCCTGCCCCCAGTTCCTGGAATAGTTTCAACAGGTATCATTTTTCCATTTACTGTGTACACAGTATTTGCACCATATTCACCCTCCCATGCCCTTTCCTCATCTCTTCCACCTTTCCACTGGTACCAACCTCCCCTGGGCAGGACCTGTTCTGCCCTTCTATGAATAAAGATTTATGTAAAAGAGAAAATCTGGTGAAAATCTGGTGAGAATGGTAACTATTTGGGAACTCTCAACCATTACCACATAAATAAACATTTTCAATTGTTTTATACCAAATTTTTACAAAATGTAATTTTCCTGCTGTTTTTTACCCCAAATTATTGTTTTTATATCAGGAGAACTAAAGCATATGATTAAACACAGGTCCACTTGATAAAACTGTCTATACATCCTTATGTCCCCCTCTTTCTCTCTCTTCTTTCTTTCTCTCTTTTTTTCTTCTCTCTCTCTTTCTTTTCTTTCCTTCCTATTCTTTCTTCCCTTTTCTGCTTTTTTCCCTTTTTTCCTTTCTTCTTTTTCTTTTCCTCTCTCCCTCCCTTCATTCATCGTTTCCTTCCCTTTCTTTCCTTCTTTCTCTCTTTCTTTTCTTTCTCTTGTTCAAAATTCCAATAACCAACTGAAATATCTGAAAGTATTCCCAACTAAAAAGCCTGTACAATGTCCGGAAGAGCAGTTGGGTTTCATCAAATTATCTGACAGAGTTTGAAAATTATATGGATAGTTTTGATTACAAAGCAAACTGCTGATTAGGTTATATAAATCCTTGTGTATCTATTATAAAAACATTTTCAAAATTGATGCAAAAGCTTGACAATCAGGGTAATTGAGTGCACAGAATTTGGAGTCCAAATATTATATCCAACTAAATTGTGGTATTGGGCAAGTTACTGATCCCTCTGAACTTCAATTTCCTCTGCAACATAGTGAAGCTATTAATAGTACTGGGCAAAGTTACTGGGGGGGGCGGTTAATGGATTCAGTGATTAAAAGAATCCTTATAAACACTAAAAATATTGCTGCTATTTTAAGAATACATTAAAACATGGATTTTCATTTCATTTGTCTCTGGCACAATGTGGAGAGCTGATGATGAGAAACCTATGAGAATTGGACATAAGCAAGGCCAGATGCGGCTTCATTGCTTTTACCTGTAGGCTGACATAGGCACAGCCCTGGCCATAAAACAGAAAAAAGCAGAACAGCTGCATCTCCTAAGCTTGTAGTCAGGGAAGCAGGAACACAGGTTTCTCCTGTTACAATGTCACACCCCTTCCCAAGAACTGTTGCTCCACCTTCCTGTTTATAAAAGACCTCCAGAAGGGGAACATAGGGCTTTTGCTTTGGAGGCTTTTTGCCTTGGGCCTTTGCTTTTTGCATTGGGGCTTTTTGGTGTGGAAGCTTTGGGGAGGGAAAAGATTGCTGAAGGGAAAAGAATTGCTAAAGAGGGGTTGATAGAAAGTCTGCACCGAGAACTTTAACATAGGTTTTAGAAAAGCTAAGCTAAGGAAACAACTTTCTACGTAGGTCTTAAAAAAGCTAAGCTAAAGAAAAGCCAAAGAAAGAAATTTACAGTGCATGTCTAAGGACTGAGACTTTAAGAGTTATGCATATGGAGTTTGTTAGATGCAGCTGCTGTTGCAAGTCTGAGCACCGAGGCTAAAAGAAAGCTAAAGAGAGATGTGACAGTGCAAGCCTGGGGCAGAAGACTTTGAGAGAGATTAACAGCTAAGAGAAAACATGGTACAGAGCAAGTCTAAGAAGAGAGATTTTAAGCAAGGTTTTAAAGAAGACTTTAGAAGCAAGGTTTTAAAAAACTGCAAGGAGTAAGGCCTTAAAGAATAAAGATAGAGAAAAGAAGCAATGAGGGTTGTGCATCTCCCTAGAGCACCTATCACACCTGATCCCATTTTCTGTCTGTCTGTCTATCCTGTGTCTTTTCTGAATCTCCAGTTGCCCCCAGCTAGCCCCAGTTAGGATCAGTAATAACCAGGAGAAAGAGAAAGCTCACTCCAACAAAGGAGGGAGAAAAAAACAGCTCCCTCCCATGTAAAGCAAACTGAAAAAGCTAAAAATTAAAGTCATATTAGCTATCTGTATTTAAAAAGCCAACTATATTTCCCACAATCCTCTTTCCTTCATGATTTTGAATGAAAATTGCCCCCCAAAATGGAAGTAGTATCCCTTAATGTGAAGGAATTTTTCAGGTCAAACACAGAGTGACAGACAAAATAGATGTCTGGTAGATTCCAGCTTGATTTTGTGCTCTTGAACTCTATGCCCATTTTGGTTTTCTTCCCAACT